GAAACCAACTATCTATGATTTTGTTAAAATCTACTTCTATTCCTTCAAAAAATGCAATTGTTTCTTTCCTTCCAAAGAACCACATTATGGTGAGTGGGATAAGTCCTAAGATTTTCCTCTTGCTGCAGAAGCCTACCCATGCAAGAAGTTCTGCAGAAATGTTGTTGTTCATGACCCAAGATAGTCCCATTAGGCCAAGAATAGTGTTCCAGAGATCAGGAAAGCATGACATGGCCTGTTTGATACCTCTCATGTTTTTGGAACCACCGCAATATTGTCTAATAGCACTAAACATGCATCAACATTTGAGCTTTTCTCAATTGTTTAGCCGTTCCCTTTAGCTTGATCTTTTTAATGGAAATGAAAGTTATTTCATAAGGCACCAAAGATTTGCCAGCTATCATTTGTTGTCTGTTGATTGAACCTAAGTGAGTGCTGAATCTGCTCTTTGCAATTCTGTGGGAGCCGTAAAGCTGAGGCATGGTGCCTGTGATAACATTCCCTGTATGTTTATTCTTGTATTTTTCTATTAAGAAAGTTATATGGTTCAGAATCTTGTAATTGAAAGTCACATCTTGCTGTTATTCATGGTAACTGAATTGGTGTTGCCTTGATGTATTTGCACAGATAATTCATATCCAAACTACTGTACACCATGGTTAATGTTTCTGACTAAAGGTTGAATGTGCCAACATGTTCATATGCTAACGGTGGCTCTTTATTTGTAGGTGCCAAAACCAATAAATTATTTCCTTGAGGCTCACTTGGATGAAAAGGGTGTAAAACAAATCCTCCGACTTATACTTTCAAAGTTCAGTCGACGTCAACCTGGACGCTCAGACAATGATTGGGCAAGCATGTGGCATGATATGCAGTCTTTGCAAAAGATATCTTTTCCTTTTCTTGACCTTGAGTATATGTTAATGGAATTCTGCAGAGGGCTTCTAAAGGCTGGAAAATTTTCTCTTGCTAGAAATTATTTGAAAGGTACAGGTTCAGTTTCTTTGCCATCAGAGAAGGCAGAAGATCTTGTTATTAAGGCTGCAAGGGAGTATTTCTTTTCAGCTTCAAGTCTTGCGTCTTCAGAAGTAAGTATGCGTACAGTCATGCAATTCATTTGATATTGCAAGTTTCAGTGTAAGTGATGTTCTTGTATATTAGCTCATTCTGCCCACTAATGTGCGGTAGGGTCTCATTTCTTGGCCCACACAACTTCTTGTCAATAGACTACAGTCTTTCTAGGGGAAACATAAATTCATTGTCTCCATTTTTGCTTTCTTGTTTCAGATATGGAAAGCAAAGGAATGCCTGAATTTATTTCCTAATAGCAGAAATGTTAAAGCAGAGGCTGATCTCATTGATGCTCTTGCTGTAAAACTTCCAAACCTTGGGGTGACTCTTCTACCCATGCAGTTCAGGCAAATAAAAGACCCAATGGAGATCATTAAGATGGCAATCACCAGTCAACCTGGCGCTTATCTACATGTTGGTGAACTCATTGAGGTTGCTAAACTTCTTGGGTTGAACTCTTTTCGAGATATATCGACTGTTGAGGAAGCTATTGCTAGAGAAGCAGCAGTAGCTGGTGATCTGCAATTAGCATTTGATCTCTGCCTTGTTTTGACAAGAAAAGGACATGGTCAAATCTGGGACTTGTGTGCTGCAATAGCAAGAGGTCCTGCCCTAGAAAATATGGATGTAAGTTCTAGAAAGCAGTTATTGGGATTCGCGTTAAGCCACTGTGATGAAGAATCAATTGGCGAGCTGCTCCATGCATGGAAAGATCTAGACCTGCAGGGCCAATGCGAGACATTGATGTTGTTGACAGGGACTGATGCTCCAAATTTCTCAGTTCAAGGCTCCTCGATTACCTCACCTTCAGGCTATAGCACCCAAGATATGGTTGGCCTAAAAGATTGCCCTGGACTGGTTGAAGGGATTAGCAATGATGATCAAGAACTTCATGTGAATAGCATCAAAAATACAATTTGCACAGTTGTTAAAACATTGCCTGCGGATAATGGGACAAATTGGGAATCTTTTCTGGGAGAAAATGGAAAATTTTTTTCTTTTGCTGCTTCCAAACTTCCATGGTTACTTGAATTGAGTAGGAACCAAGAATCCGGTAAGAAACTGATTTCTGGCTCATTCCCCAGAAAACAATTTGTTAGTTTAAAAACAACAGCTATTGTTACCATACTCTCATGGTTGGCAAGAAATGATTTTGCACCAAAAGATGATCTGATTGCTTCCTTGGCAAAATCAATCATGGAACCACCTGTTACTGAAGAGGAAGACATTACGGGGTGCTCATTCCTGTTGAATCTCACGGATGCATTTAACGGGGTCACAGTCATAGAAGAGCAGCTGAGGACAAGGGAAGAGTATCAAGAAATTTGCAACATTATGAATATGGGAATGATATATAGTTTACTGCATAGCTGTGGAGTTGACTGTGGAGGTCCTGCTCAGAGGAGGGAGCTGCTTTGGAGGAAGTTCAAAGAGAAGCATATGCCTCCTAGTTCAGGTGAATCATAATATATCTTTACTTCAAAAACCTATATGCCAACCTTTGCTTGTGCTATTATGAAACTCTATTATGTTGAGAAACTCAAATATTGTTTATTTTTAATCGTTCTCTTTATGATTTCTGCTTCTGTTTTCCTGTTAATCTTAATTTCAGATGAAATGAACAAGATCGACAAAGTACAGTCAACATTTTGGAGGGAATGGAAGCTCAAATTAGAAGAAAAGAAGTGTGCAGCAGATCGTTCTAGAGTGTTGGAGCAAATAATTCCTGGGGTTGAAACTGCACGCTTTTTGTCTGGTGATGTCAATTACATAAAGAGTGTTGTATTTACCCTCATTGATTCAGTAAAGTTAGAGAAGAAGCAAATTTTGAAGGATCTGTTGCAACTGGCAGATACCTATGGCTTGAACCGGGCTGAAGTATGTGGCCATCCATCTCCCAACTCATAAATAAAGAAGATATTTTCATGTTTGGATACTTACTGGAAAACTTGTTTCTTTCTGCAGGTCGTATTGCGGTACTTAAGTTCTATCCTCGTTTCTGAGATCTGGACTAATGATGATATCACTGCAGAGATCTCCGAAGTTAAAGAAGAAATCCTTGGTTTCGCCCCTCAAACCATCAAAACTATATCCTTGTTTGTATACCCAGCAGTTGATGGGTGCAACAAACTGCGCCTGGCTTACTTATACAGCCTCTTGTCTGATTGCTACTTGCAGTTAGAAGAAAGCAAAGACTCTTTATCAGTGATTCAGCCTGACCTACCACATGTGCTCTCTCTTGGGTTACCTCAATTTTATAAGATCATTGAGCAGGAATGCAGAAGAGTTTCCTTTATTAAGAACTTGAATTTCAAAAACATTGCAGGATTAAGTGGTTTGAATTTGCAGAGTTTCAGCACTGAAGTCTATACACATGTTAATGAGTATAGTTTGGAAGCCTTGGCGAAAATGGTGCAGATTTTGGCTGGTATCTATGCTGATCAAGTGCCTGAGGGTCTCATTTCCTGGCAAGATGTCCACAAATATTATGCATTGAGTATGTTGGACACTTTGAAGAGCAAAATCAGAACAGATTTCAATATGAAAAGCCCTGAAAATTTTCAGGACTTAATTGTTCAAATTGAACAGACCTATGATTTTTCCAAGATGCACATAAAACTTTTAGAACCTCTGGAAGCTTTGGACATTATGAAGCAGTACTTCATTGTGATAATACCTTTGTACAGTTCCTGCAAGAGTTTACCAGACAACTCAGCATGGCAGGACTGCCTTATATTCCTTGTGAACTTTTGGATAAGACTAACTGAAGAAATGCAAGAACTGATGTGCAGTGAAAATTCAGTAGAAAATCTCAGGTTCAATCCTGAATGCATAATGAGTTGTCTGAAGATTTTCATGAGGTTGGTGATGGAGGATAGTATCTCCCCAAGTCAAGCATGGGCCACCATTCTTGGCTATCTAAATTGTGGTCTGTGCGGTGATTGCGCTCTAGTAATTTTTGCTTTCTGCAGAGCTATGGTATTTTCTGGTTGTGGATTTGTAACCTTGTCAGAGGTCTTCCATGAAACACTCTCTCAATGTCAAACCAGTTTGGCTCCAGCTGCTGACCCTGGATTACAGGATCTTCCACATCTCTATTTAAGTATATTGGAGCCTATTTTACAGGATATTGTTCATGGGTTCTATGAAGACCAGAATTTGTACAATTTGTTGTCTTCTCTTAGCTATTTGGTAGGTGATTTAGATGAGCTGACGAAGGTTAGACAAGTAGTTTGGGAAAGAATTGCCAGTTTTTCTGAAAATTTGCAGCTACCGAGTCAAGTTCGTGTTTATGCTCTAGAGCTTATGCAATTTATCTCAGCCAGAAATATCAAGGGATTCTCATCAGGGCTACAATCCCATGTTCTCCCTTGGGAAGGGTGGGATGAGATGCTTGATATTGACAGAAAGACTGAAAATGCTGATAATCAGGGAGTGCAAGATCAAACAAATGGGTCTAGCAGGTTTACGAGCACTTTGGTTGCACTTATATCATCTCAGCTTGTTGCAGTCATCTCACCAGATATACAAATCACCTCTGATGACCTCTTGAATACTGAGTCGGCAGTTTCTTGTTTCTTGAAGCTTTCTGCGGCTGCTTGTAAGGACTCTCATGTTGACTCCTTGTTATCCATTTTAGAAGAGTGGGAAGGGCTTTTTGTTACTAGAGGCAATGAAGTAGCTTCTCGAAACATATCTGATCCAGGAAACAACTGGAGTAATGATGAATGGGATGAGGGTTGGGAAACTTTTCAGGAGGATGAACCCCTTGAGAATGAAAAGAAAGAGGCTTCTTGTTCCATTCATCCTTTGCACCAATGCTGGGTGGAGATCTTCCAAAAACTCATTACTCTGTCGCGGCTGAGAGATGTATTGATACTGATTGATCATTCCTTATCAAAATGTAATGGAGTACTGATCAATGAAGATGAAGCCGGGACCTTGAGTCAGATTCTAGTTGGGAAAGATTGTTTTTTGGCTTTAAAGATGGTGCTTTTATTGCCTTATGAAGCAAAAAGGCTGCAGTGTTTAAGCCTAGTTGAAGAAAAACTGAAGCAAGAAGGCATCCCAGAAACTGGCAGCCAGGATCACGAGCTTCTTTTACTTCTGCTATCTTCTGAGGTTATACCAACTCTCATCTCACAATCTTCTTATGGTACACTTTTCTCCTATATTTGCTATCTAGTTGGAAATTTTTCGCATCAATTTCAAGAAGCTAAGTTATTGAGGTTGACAAAGAAGGGCAAGAATGAACTCAGCAAAAACGAGAAAGACTACTTGTTCCTTTTCAGAAGAATCATCTTCCCTTGTTTTCTATCAGAGCTTATAAAAGGCGATCAGCAAATTCTAGCTGGATTTATAGTCACAAAATTTATGCACACAAACCCTTCACTCAGTCTCGTTAACATTGCAGGGGCTAGTATTAGTAGATTTTTGAAGAAAGAGCTTCACTCATTAGAGCATGAAAAATTTGGTGTAGAGGAAATGAGATCTGAAGCGTTAACAAACACAGTTTTGAGATTGAGAGACAAGATGACGATTCTCATCCAATCTGCCTTGTCAGTGCTTTCGACAAGCAATATATAGGGAAAGCTATTGGCTGATAGTCAGTATATTAAAATAGTGAAACCTTCCTTTCCTTTTATTACAGGCTAAAAGTAAATGTGATTAACAAAAGATAGGTCAATATAGGACTTTAAATGGGTCAAAATTGACCCTTGAATTGCAATGTTCTTTTGATGGATGTAAAGGTGGTTATTATTTTTTTTTTCTCTTTTTGGTTTGCATCCATTAGGTTCAAGGAACGGCTTGAGTTCTGGCTAAATCTCGTGGATTCCAAAGAAGGTTTTGCAATACACAATTGCTTTCCGAAATGGCAAATGAGCATGTAGCTACAACAGAAGTCAAGCTTAATTCTATGTTTGGCCACTACACGGGGGTTCTATTTTCAAATTAGTTCTTAAAGTTTAAAATTTTATTTTGCAGCTGATTTAGTTATTCTGTTGATGCTTTGAATTTAAACGTAAGAGAAATTGACATATAAATGCCATAACCAATCCGATCCACTTCTTTATTCCTTTTCAGGCATGAAATGAACTCTGCTAAGGCAAATTACTCTTTAACATGCTTTGTGTGTGCGTAAGAGTGATGACGATTTTGATAAGATGAATTCTGTGTTTAATCTCCTCGATGGATAGGTATTCATCATTGTCCATACATGATTTTCCATATCCCACATCAGGAATTATGTGGTGATGGATTCGTAAATTGAGACAATTGTACACTAATCTTATTAGTTTTGCATCAAACTCATCTTAACCAGCTTCAAGAGAACAGAGAAAGGGAATTGGTTTTCATATGTTAAAACTTTGGGATGAGACTTCAAAATTGTCTATATATAATTTCCCATACTCTACGTGTATGCATGCAATTGTTATAAAGCGTAACTAATGAACTACAACTACCCATATAAGTTGCAACAATCAAATATTAATTATTGATTAATTTTAACTAAAGTCATATAATGATTGGTTCATTTTGGTTAAAAAAAATTTAATTAAAAAATTAACTGATCTAAAATAATCGAAGTTAACAAACTGATTATAGTATTATCATTGAAATTGAACCAATCGAATAGTTTCGTTATTAATAGACATAACTGAAATTTAAGTTTTATTTTGAAAATTTATTTTTAACAAATCAAATTCATTACAACTTAAAAATTTATGTTAATTTATTTCTATAAAATTGGTGTTTATATATGACCGGTTGATTTTGTCATTTTGACTAACTTGGCTCATTTGAATATATTTATTTATTAACTAATTCATATAACTTTCATGAAAAGTATATAAGAAATATTATTTACACCATATTTATTCACACCAAAAGAAACACTAAAAGAGGTAGATAATGATTTTGTTTATTGTTTTGTAACTTCAAAGGCGAATAGTGTTAGGAAAACGTCTTTATCTTTATTTCTTTTTAATTCTTTAAATAATAATTATAAGTCTTTGGGTAGCGGAAATCGGCAGGCCAAAGAGAGCTTATGGACCTAGTTCGACTGAGAGGCAAGAGCCGAGATGGTGGGTGTCGTCATGCTGTGCTGCCATGAACTGGCTGTGTACGAAAGCTTGAGACTCGAGAGGGCGAAGGACCTCACGCTGTGCGGGGGCATAAGGGTAAACTGATGGCCGACGGGATTAATAAGTCGGAAATACTGATTATATATATATATATATATATATATATTATAATTATATAATATTTAAATTTAAAAATATACATTAATCGATTAATTGGTCCGTTTCGATTCCATAATGCTTCCTCCCCCTTCTACTTCATTTTTTCAATCATACTAATCTCTAATTTATTTTTCTTTTACACCATAAACACCAAAACCTACCAATGAAATAAAATATATAAAATCTTTTTGTTTCTGAAAGTATCAAAGTAAATATATATTAACATCCACACCAAAAAGAGTCTAACACGTACAAAAATTTACAGGTCAATCCAACTAACAATAAGATTTCTTAAATTCTTTATTGAATGAAAAAATGTCCCAATAACAAAAAATTTATGTATATAATCTTGTTTTGAAATAAAATATATATAATCTATAGCCTGCAGAACAGCAGAATAACTACTATAGATTTTTTTTTATTGAAAAAAGGAATGAATGTTCACATAGTTCTCTTCTATTGCTTGAATCTCAATTACCTCTTATCAATAAGAGCTCTTCACGAGCAAGAATAATGTTTATATTTTTTTTACCTGTCATCAGAGCTTATAACACAATACACAAAAACCTCAACACTCCGCAAAAACTATACACCAGTTTTGGTATCTTATAGAGAGAAAAGAGGAAACTAGGCAGCCATTGACACACCCATTATTTTGAAGAACATTTTGTTATTTGTCATCTAGGTATAGAACTATAAGCAAAAACCTTGAGAAAATACTCACACTCATCCATGGGCGTTCTCTTTTTATGATTCTACTTCATTTAAATGTAAAAGGCACAATTTCTTTTGTATGACCTGACATGCCTCGGCTTCCCACTCTCTTTGAGTCTCCACTCTCTGCAGCCAATCCTGATTCACCAAATAGCCAGTGATACCGAGAATCAATTAACGGTCATTGGTAAAAGAGGAGACAAGTAGGAATGATGCTTCAAAGTGCAACATAAAGCCAATGCATCATTGTAAGATAGAGTAAGGCGCCGAGCTTGTCCATTCCACTAGATAAATACACACAGTTGCCTTACCAATGAACAGTATCATTTATTACATAATGTTTAAGTAGGGAATCTTTGACACATCATCTGTGATTCTGTGATAATCCAATAACGACTGTCTGCATAATCACTGTGTATTTCACATGCAAAGCACATTGTATATCTAAAAGGAAATCATTACTAGGTGCGTCTGTGATCACCAGATCATGGATACACTACTTACAGCTACCTAACAACATGCATCTATGTAACCTGAGATAATCCAAATTATTTATGTCATGTTAAGAAGAAACACCTGCCCTCCATCCCAATTTGAATTTTGAATTGAAAAATCAATGCCATCAACCAATCAAGTTAACAAATAAACGTTCCAAAATCAGAAAGCACATAAACTATTATGTCCTGATGTGAAAAAAATAAAATAAAAATAAAAAGGAAATAAACAGGCTTACCTTATAATGCCGAAGAGTGGCAATTGAAGAGAACTTTTCATATCATAGTTGCAGATATATCTTCATATTATTACACATACTGTATAAGAGCAGAGTCAAGAAATTAGAGGGAAGCAACATGAAAAGAAATATTACCTCATTGAAAACAAAATATTTCTCAATAGATGGTTGCACCAGACTAGTAAATTAATCACAAGCCTCAAACACACCAGTGAGTAAAAATTGTCATGCAAAATTAGCAACACACCATTTATCGGAGTGTAGTCATTTTCGTACAAATTACTGACCAATGTACAAAGGCCTTGCTAGCTCAACTTGGACAAGTGAGATAGCACTACTGCTCTACAACTCGGTTGGAAGTAGAATTATCATTGTATAATCATATGTTTACACATATTCATATTATGTTTTTGAATAAAAAACATTTGCACATCATTACTTTAAGCCTGTCTTAAAACATAGAATTCTCAACCTCGTATGGGAGATAGGGTTGTATTGTGGGCATGTTGCAGATAATAATAGAAAAATATAAAGTTGGAATTAGCTTAGAACTTACACTGGAACGACATAGATAGTACTTTCACCTTATTCGCATATCAGCAAGAAAATCTGACAACCTGAAATACGTTCAATCTCTTAAGCAAAGTGAAAAGGGAAGCTCTGATGGCTGATTCATCTAGCAAAAGAACACCGAAAACAAAAAAAAGGAAAAAAGAAAACAAAAACCGATGCGACCATCGGGATACGCATGCTGCAAACAAAAAAAGGACCTGATATCTTTTGCTATCACAGTGTTTCCATCCTCAGATCCAAGATGGCGCAGAACAACTTCTTCCGTGCGACCATCGCGATACGCATGCTGCAAACACAGAAGATCCATGAAATAAACCTAACAGAGTAAGCTTCTTATTGCTAGAATATTGTCCAAAAACAAAGGAACCAAGCATAGGAACAACATTAATACAGCAAGAAATCTTCAAAACTTAGATATTGGCACTGTAATGTTAAGTTTCATTCCGAGCCTGTAAGTTATAGGTATGTACCATCTGTCATATAGCCACTTGTTTGTGGAAACACTTCTCACAAACTACCTATGCACCTCTAAGCAACTTGTAATAAGAAACGACAAGCTCTAACAAACTCTACTTAACATTGGACTGAAACATCAATTCCCATTACATTAGAGTAGACCTGGGATCCAGAAGCATTTTCAGGCCGGTTAACATTGCAAACCAATCGCCATTTCATCATTAAAATTTATTTAAAAAAAAAAAAAGAAAAAAAACCAGGTAGATATACCCAGATTTTAAATATCATAAATAACATTATGACATAACACAAACTGCAACCACAAACATAACAAACTGCAAGTTTCATTTTTCCCCAGTAGCAAAAAGTGGATGGTGCCATCGCCCGTCACTGATACAATTTCAAAATCCACAAGATGTCAAAATGACATGGCTAAATCTAATATCTTAAGATCAACAATTCTCCTCATCACTTGAGACATCAATTGATTCCAACTCCAGCTCCATTAGCAACAAGGCCATATCCATAGGACTTAAATCTTCAGTATCAAAATCTTCAGTATCAAAAATATCTAGTTCATCTTCTGAAATTAACTGCTCGAACACATCAAAAAATGCCATATCCATAACATTAGATCTTCGTGGACGTCGAACTGGCCGGCGTGGAGGTGGCCTGTGATATTTCCATGCATATGAGCCTGGCTTGACCGTATGCTGGAACAGAACACAACATTGTATCCATTAAAGGACTCATAAAGCTAGCCCCTCCGTGATGAAAGTAAATGACATACAAAGGCGCATAGTACTTAGGATTGCAGGGATAGAATTCAGAAGAAGCCATTTCAAAGCATCTCCAGAACATCAGCGATCCTACAATAGCAAAACCATTCTATATGTGCATCTCTAACACTAACTTGTACTCTATTGTAACTGAGGAATTAATGAAAATCAGAACAAAAAAATGCTAAATGTTTGGTAGTTTAAGTGGAATAAACTAGCCATCCAAGAGATCATATGATAAATACTATCTAAGGTTATTCAAAAGAGCATCTAAAAAAACGCTAATAACTTCTAGGCATTCTTTCTAAAGCTGAACAAGAAAAAGTTGGTGCTTCACAAGAAATCATAGGAAGCTGAGACAATGAAATTGATTAAACTTACTGTATGCATGTAAAATTATGTCCTATACTGAACCAGTAGACCATTTAAAGAGCTTATAGAACCATAATCCATAAATTAATTTGGGTCCTTGTTTATGCATATAGAATGTTACAATACCACATTGATGCACGTTAAAATAGGATACGCACAAAGCAAGTTCTTTAAAGCCAGAGCCTAGCAAGCAATCTAAACAGCTTTGTGATATTTAAATATGCAATTAGGTACACAAAATTTATACATAAATTTCACATACAAACAAAGACTGAATGCAAAAAGAGAGGCCAAAGCAAGAAAAAACATTCTTTTATGTGACAAAAATTAAGAGTGAATTACATAATAATACTCCTTTCTGATCTTTATCATGCTTATTACGGACACAATTATATCCTCATTTACATGGTAGGGATAGAGGTTCCTTTTCTCTTAAAATGTAGATCAGATGATAGTACTAATTCCCCAACAACTCCAAATTGATCAGCTAGACACACCTTGCTTAATTATAGGGGAACTCAGGTTCGCATGTGCTATAAATTGATAAATTAGGCCATAAAATTCCTTCAAATGAAAACAGACACACAGCTGGGCAACTACACCCATTAAAAAAACTAAGCTTGGACAGACAAGAGCGAGCACGGCTTACTAATAACATCTTGACCACATATATTCAGAAAATCAAGACAACACAAATACACAACCTAGTCACAGGAAATGGAATGACAAAGAACAAAAAATGGCTTCAAGTAGAGCCAAAGTGCAAACAGAATCAAAAGCCACCACAAGGTTATGCAGGCAAAATATGAGGCAACAGATGGTTTGCATTCAAATCTAAAAGGACAAAAGACAAATGTGAAGCTTATAACAAAACAACAAAAATTCAAAGAA